CAGGTCACCAAAGACACTAATCTTTGCCTTCCATGAGTAGTCGTGTACATCCCATGGAAATGCAAGTGAAGGCGGTTGATTGGCACGCTTCCCGGGCAAATCACATTGACTTCCTTCTCATGCATGGATGGTTAAAAGGCACTGAATAAGCCATTAGTCCTTATTACGGATCTCTTTAATATAGGCCTACCAAATCCATTTTAGCAAAATAATTCAGGGCCTGTAGCTGTTGCTTAAGCATATCATCAGCTAGGAAAACCTGTCGGAGAAGATGATGTGCTTAGTACTGTAACTGGCATAGAGTTCAGTGCAAGTGTTGCTTAACAAGTGACTTTTGAAGTGGCCGAAGACAGGTAGTTTCTGAAGAATCCTCTGGACACTGCCTTCCCATCCCATTCTCCAGGTCAGTACGGGAAAATTGGATTTTTTTTAGAAGTCTTAGACTGGCCATTGTGAATTTCTCTTTTCAGAACCTTCAAAACATTATCTTGAAAGCAAGCTAAACTAAAGTGTCTTCAATTTAAGATGTCTGTGTTTACTATTAATCTGACTCTTCTTAGGTGGTTTTAAAGATGAGCTTAGAATTGCCAAGCTTTTTTGCTTTTTAATAACTAGTCTGAAGTTATTGAACACGGTTTCGGGGAATCAGACTTTAGATTAAAATGGTTTGTCTGACTTTGCCTTGTTAGAGAAAAATCTGTGAAAAGCAGAAAAGCTATAGGAACTTTAAAAGTAGAATTTTTAAAAAGAAATTTTATTGTATCGAGTGGATTGTCACTGAGTTCCTTCCAAGTGTCCTATCAGGAATGAGACTGCTTGCAACTGTGCTTCAGTGAAGGAATATTGTATTACTTGTACAGGTGCCAAGATATTTTCTGATTACTTTCTTGGACTTGAATGCCTGGAGAAACCCTTGGCTTTGACTTATAAAAAATACTGAGACCATCGGGACAGTGCAGATACATGCCTACATCCATTCTGTCTTATAAACCACCACACTTTAGTGACCTTTAGAAGTCTCTTTTCTTTTCTTCAAGTACCAGACCTCTATTTCTGAGACAAGGTCACATGGTATCAAATATGAAACAGAGATATTAAATAAATTAACATTATTTACTGCAAATGTACTGTGTCCAGAACCAATTTGCAAAATAATATAGTTAAGGGGTCTCAGAAGTGGTTCTTTCCTTGAATTTCTACCTCTGGTCAAAGAGTAAGTAAATGGAAAAGACAGCAAAAGTGAAAATGAGCTTACAGTATAAAGAAAAGAGCTCTTAAAATACAGTCATGTGTTTCACCATGGAACCAGTATCTTTTGCTCCCTCCCTTCCTTCTTCCTTTTCTTTCTCCCTCCTTTTACTCTCTTCCTCCCTCCCTCCCTTTCTTTGATAGTCAAGAAAGGAAGAGGAGAAAATAAAAAGGGTTTGAGTTATATGCACAAATGTCCTCTCCCCCTACTTTCTAGTTACGCAGACTTCAGTAAGAATAACTAGTTAAGAAGTGGAGATTCTGTTGCTTCTGCAGCTCTACAGCTGTTTTTTGGGCACTGCTGCATGTTTATAACCTTTTCTCACAGATGTTACATTTTATGAAATGTGACTCATTAGGGTGGTACTGGTATCTTTAAATGAAAAGAAATCCCAGAGGACTGAGTGATTACACAAGTCCGGTTCGCTCATAACCTGAAGTATTTGAATAGAATATATTCGGGGGGCGGGGGGGTGGGGAGCAGCCATACTTAAATGAATTAGATAGAGCAATGACCTAAAATTCATTCCTTTCTCAGGGAGGAATGAGGGAGGGACAATATTCTTGTTTGGGGAGGTTTTGTTTTCATTTGCAGAATGTTTTTAATCTGTGTAGGCCTTTTGTTTTGGACCTTGGTCCATATTTTGGATCCAATGTGCAAAAAATAATAATAATACAAGAAGACATTTTTTGAATGTCCACTCTGTGCAAAGTACTGGATTTAGTGCTACTTGGAGGCACAGAGAGTAGTAAAAGAGCTAGAATACATTGACCTGTCACACTTGAGCTTCTCATAAATGCTTAAAACTGCACATCAATCTGTCTTTTCCAGATGAGGCACCCGGGGTCCCACGTGGGAAGGTGACTCATCCAAAGTCATGCAGCTAATGGCATTCAGAGCTAAAACTTAGAACCATCTCTCCTGAGGTCCAATGTCCTTTCAACATACCAGGCTACCTAGTACCCATGGACTTAAATGGGTCAAGTGTCATGGCCGGTCGAGAACTAGGTTGAGGTGATCAAGGCAAAATTTTCACAGGTGCCCAAACGCTTAGTAATCACACTTAATGCAAAAGAAATCCATGCTGAACAATAGATCAAAATCTTCAATGAAGTCAGGATCAGACTATTTGCATGACCCAACCTCACTTGCCTCACCCTAATCTTGGTCCTATGTCATGCAATCTGAACTTTTGGGTAGACCAAAGGGGAAACTAACAAGAAAATATTCCCACGGCTGGGAAAATTGTAAAGGAATTCCTGAATGTATAGAGTGAGGTGCTCAGATTTTCAGAGCCACAGTAGTATCCTGAGATAAAATAGCTCATTTTGTTTTGTTCTTAAATTTTTATTTATTGATTTGAGAGAGAGAAAAGGAGAGAGAGAAGAGGAGAGAGAGAGAGAGAGAGAGAGAGAGAGAGAGAGAAGCATCAATTTGTTGTTCCACCCATTTATGCACTTATTGGTGCCTCCTGTATGTGCCCTGACCTGGGATTGAACCCACAACCTTGGCACATTGGGACGAAGCTCTAGCAATTGGGCTACCTGACCAGGGCTCATTTACTTTATTTTAATAAGAAACTGAGACTGAAGAGCATGGGGGAAATCTCAAGATGTGACAGTGGGTCATGCCAACCACTGAAGGACACTTTTCCCATAATGAACCCAGAGTCCTGAGGGCCTCACAGTGGGGTTTGATTGGAGGGCTTTGACCGAAACTAGAAACTGAGTTACAAGTTTTCTTTCACTTCTTTTATTTTCTTCACTTTCATGCGTGTCCTGTGCCTGAAGTGTTAAGCCAGGACCTGGATATACACCAGCCGTGTATAAATGAATAAAACTAAAAAAAAAAAAGGCCGTACCCTTTTATGTAATGATGTTTACTTTGAATTTATATTAGTTCACACAAACACTCCATCCATGCTTTTGTTCCGGCCCTCCGGTCCAGTTTAAGAACCCATTGTGGCTCTCGAGTCAAAAAGTTTGCCCACCCCTGATATACACTATTTGAAACTACCCTTGCCCTTCGAAGGCCAAGAAGAAGTCACAGTGGGTTCCGGGAGGAAAGGAGAGGTGCTTGGGCAAATGCAGGCCTGGAGGTTCATATTCGGTCGAGTTCATCATGAGAGACCAAAAGGAGACTTGGGGTTTAACCTGCTGAGAAGCAGTAAAGACTATGCATGCGCCTGAACATCTTCAGCATCCAGCTGCTGTGGGCAAGATGGAAGTTGGTTCAGGTTCCTGGCCTGGCAATGTGGTTCTTCACTTTCCCACATTTTGCAGTGACTTTAGCAGGAGAGTCAGAGCCAGCCCCAGGGATAGCAGAGATTCGGGTGAGTGTGGGCCTCTGACACAGGTGTGACAGGAGCACAACGTCCAAAACTGTTCTCCAACGCTGGCTCCACTGGGCCTGGAGGTGAGGAGTGGTGAGGAAGAGTCAAAGAAAGAACCACGTAGCTTTCTCTTTCTTAGACGATTCTCAGCTTTCTCCTATCTAGTCATCCTCATTTGCAGGGAAGAGTGGTTCATTTTTTTTGTTTCAGGTTTTTCTTCATTAAACCACAGGGACAGCTCTAGGGGGAAAATACACAGTAGAAATATTCTCTAAATCAGCAGCAGAGAGGATTTCTGTGCTTTGGGTGCTTAAAACAGTTAAGAACCTGAGCATTTAGAAATTTGGATAAGAATTCTAACCATGTCAACTTGCCAACTAAGTGGCCTTTGCAAGTTCTTCAATTTTCCTCACCTTCAGTTTTCTAATCAGTAGAGAATAAGGGCTCAAAAATAATATCTGTTATCACAGATTCTTGTCCCTAAAGGATGACGTTAAAGGTCCCGTTCACACATGCATCGATGCCTTCTGTAGTATCCCCATTCAGCAACCATTCAGTGCCTGAACCCCCACAGAGCCCACGCAATGCAATCTGTCTGTTTGGTTTGTTGTGCTGTAGGTTTTTAACATTCTCTAATTTGATCAGTTCTTGCTTCTAATAAGCCAACATTTTCCTGGCTATTAGGCCAACATTTTTGGCCCTAGCTCCAACACTGGAAAAACACAGAATAAACACCCTACTTTTTCCTTATCTTCAAGTGTCTGAAAATGGCTATCGGACTCCTTAAGTCTTCCTTTTTCACTGATTTCTTCAACCATTCCAACAAAGCCATCATCTCAAGTTCCTGCAGTCTCTTTACTCCTGTCTTTTTCACTGCTTTAGTTTTCCAGTGGTCTTCTCAAAATCAGTTTTGCAGACCTCAACAAGCTAGTCCAAATATAGACTGACCACGACAAAGTGGAGGGCTGAGGTGGCTCGCTTTGTTTTCATTACCATAAAATTGCTAAAAGTGTTAATGATGACTGTCTTCTAAACTATCACAGTGATAATTCTGGGGCCCAATTGTTTGATTATTACCTTTCGACTTGGTTTAACTTTATTTTCACGTCTACATTTCATCCTGTACTCCCTCCTATCTCCTCCTAGGGGAGAAAAAAGGCAACGATATTTTCAGGCACAATCTTGTATGAATGGGAGGAAGTTTTAGAAATGTTGCTTTTCCCTCCTCCCTCCACTTTTTTTTTTTTTTTGCTGTCCTGTTGAATAAACATTACTGTTGCTATCAAAACAAGTTTCCCATCTGCCCCCTCACCAAGTTCACTTACTACTTCTTTGAATGATGAACAGTATTGTTTTGTGAAGTGCCTATAACTTCAATATGATCTGTAAGTTCCTTGACTATTGTTCCTTTTCCTTTAGAACAAGAGCCTTCTCTTTAGGAAAGGAAATACCTTGCCCCGAGACTTCTGTAAATGTCACTGACAATGTGTGATTGAGAACCAAAACATCTTTAGTGCCAAGTAATGATGAAATAGAAAACAAAGGTATATTGTGATAGAGGCACAAACTTCCACTCTGTGCCCCTGACTTTTCTGAAGCCTATCTGACTGCAGAGATTTCAGGTCATGGTAAGGATTCGAGACTTACACAAACATAGTCATGGTCAACTTTTAAAACAATGTTTAAGCCATGGTGGTATCTATCTATGAGATGTTTTGTGAACTGTTAGGGACCCTGTTGTGTCTGCTGCTTCCAAAATCAGCTCTTCAGGAGTCATAACACTGCCCAGAGGCCATTGAAAAGGATTAACTCTTTAATTTTGATTGTCTGAATGAAAAGATCAAAAATATAAATTGAGATCTCCAGTAGCTATCAAGTCATGCCCAATAAAAATAAAGGTCCAGAAGTCCTGTACCATCAAGGTTTTCAAATTCAGTGCCCACATTCTTCCTGCTAAAAAATCACCCATCACATAGAAATCCTTTTTCAAGGAAATACTGATTTGGGGGTTTCTTGTTGCGATAAGCAAGGCTTTGAAATATATCGTCAATGATGGTGGTTCTTCCCCAGACTTTGGAGAGGAGTGAGATAATGACCTAGATTATATCCTTTATTTATTTTTTTAAAGATGAAATTACCTTTTCCTTTATTGATTTGAGAGAGAGAGATCAATTTGTTGTTTCACTTATTTATGCATTCATTGGTTGATTCTTTATGTGCCCTGACCTAGGATTAAACCCGCAACCTTGGTGTATTGGGACAACGCTCCAACCAACTGAACTACCTGGACAAGGTTAGACCATATCCTTTAGTCAAAGGTGAGTAAATTGCTCTTTTAAAAGAGAGAACTAGTCCTAGCCAGTTTGGCTCAGTGGATAGAGCGTCAGCCTGTGGACTGAAGGGTCCCGGTTCAATTCCAGTCTAAGGGGACATGCCTGGGTTGTGGGTTTGATCCCCAGTGGAGGGCATGCAGAAGGCAGCCAATTAATGATTCTTTCTCATCATTGATGTCTCTCCCTCTCCTTTCCTCTCTGAAATCAATAGAAAATATATTTTTTAAAAATAGGAAGATGCTATAGATTCCCAAGGGGAGGGGGGGGAAATAAATAAAAGAGAGAAGTAAGAGAAATATAATGCAGTATTCTTTTTTCTCACCAGTCTTGGCCAGATATGGGAATAATAATGGCATTTGGGGGCTAGGCACAGGGGTCCCCCAACTCAAACACCTTCAGAAGGCAGGCATTTTTTTATTATTATTGATTTTAGAGAGAGGGAGGAAGAGAGAGGAAGAGAAACATCAATCTGAGAGAAACATCAATTAGCTGCCTCCTGTACACCCCTCCTGGGGATCGAACCAGCCTGTGCCCTGACTGGGAACTGAACCCGTGACCTTTCAGTGCCTGGGACAATGCTTAACCAACTGAGCCACACCGACCAGGGCAGTAGCTGCAATTATTGAGCATACTTTATTTACCCGGTACTGAGCTGACCACCACTTTTTGAGGATTTCCTTATGTGATTATCACAGTAACTCTATGACTTAGTACTATTACTATTCCCATATTACAGTAGTAATAGTACTATTACTATTTTCAGGAAACGGAGATTTTGAGGTAGTAAGTGGTTTGTCTAAGATTCTACAGCCAGGAAGAGCAGAAGACTGGGATTTGAAGGCAAGCATTCTGATTCCAGAGTCCATACACCACTTTATTCCCTGATATTTAAATTATACCTGTGTTTATTATCTTACAGTCTTGAAAAGGAATAGAGCCTAAAAGTTTCTCCCTGGCCCAAGGTTAATCATTCACTCTGTGTTCTCCCAGCAATCAACAGTCATCCCAGTTGTACAAGTGGGGACACTAACATCTGGGTGGAGCATTAGTACAGCTGGAACTTAACTAGGCGTTGACTCTTCAAATACGTGCTGTGTCTTCTTAAACTGTCCAAGTGAAGCATGGTCAGCCTTCAAGTGCCTTTTATGAAAAGACCTTGATCCCAGTAGAGTGAAAATAGGTATCATTTCATTTCCACTGGATTCAGTTGTTCTCACTTTTTATTCATAAAGGAAAAACTCCCAACCTCGCTGCCTTTAAAAGTGAATAAAACAATTGTATGTCTAAAATTAATTAGCTTTTCTATTTGAGGTTGATTTTCAATGCCAACCCAATAAAGAAGTCATTGTGAAGGATATACTTCGTTCAGCTAAGCTTCCTGAAAACTTCGGTTAATTTCCTAAGTGAATGTCTCTCAAATATCCCTCATTTCCATTCTCACTCTCACTGCCTAGGGCCCTTCCATCTTTGACTTCAGTTGTGACAACATCCTCCCAAACTGCTACCAGATGATATTTATAAAAACAAAGATTGATGATGTCACTCCCTCCTACAAACCTTTTTATTTGCTCCCAACTGGCAATGGAGTAAAATCCAAATGCTGAAGCATGATATTCAAAGGATTCTTTACCAGAACACTCCCCTTTCTTGTTGTCTCTTTGCCAGCCAAACCAAAAAGTTTCCATTCATCCTAATATGCCAAGGAATATTGTCATTTGTTTTAATGTCTGACATTAAGCAATAAAGGACATGGGAGCTACAGTTAGGCAACATACTTCTCTATTAAAGAATAGGCTATGCCTTGGGTTGGGGTTAGAGCAGGGGTGGGCAAACTTTTTGACTCCAGGGCCACAATGGGTTCTTAAACTGGACCGGAGGGCCGGAACAAAAGCATGGATGGAGTGTTTGTGTGAACTAATATAAATTCAAAGTAAACATCATTACATAAAAGGGTACGGTCTTTTTTTTTTTTTTTTTTTAGTTTTATTCATTTCAAACGGGCCGGATCTGGCCCGCGGGCCGTAGTTTGCCCACGGCTGGGTTAGAGGGTACAATCTATAATCACTGTTCTCTACCTCTTACGAACCAGCAATAGCTGTCAGTATCACACCCAACCTCCAGTTTCCATTTAAACCTCCTTGGCTTCCCTTGGCATCTTTATAAAACACTGCTATGCCTCAACACCTTCCAAGCTGAGATTGTTCACCCAGAGGACCGCCAAACATTCTACTGGTGCCAAACATACTGAGTGCAATCTGGAGTGTGGTATACAGTTTATATTTGATAGCTAGTGGAAAACACTGAACAATGCCTCAAAAATAACCCTTATGCTATATA